TTAGTTATGAAGAATGGTTAGCAAATTTAAATATCTTTGTTTTAGAAAAACAGCTCCTTAGAGGTGATATGATAGCATTACACAAATATATTCGAGGTCAATACAAACCATTGTCTGGAAATCTATTTATAAACTGACTATACATAGAACACAATGTCATGCATTTAGACTGGAAGAAAGGAGATTGAGACTTAGGCAAAGTATTTTTTTTTTTTTTTACAGTAAGAACAATAAGGATATGAGATTATCTGCATAAAAAGGTGGTTTAAGCTGTTAAATGTTTAAACAGCAACAATATAAAACTTGCAAAAACATGATATTCAGGGATATCATTTTTAATTTGTGAGTTTGCCTAATTCACATTTTTTTGGGTGCTAAAAAGTAAATTTGAGGTGTGCACTTCATATCTGACAGTCAAATAGAACCGTCAAGTGGTTACAGCGCACTTTGAACAATTTTAATTGTTTTGGTGCTAAATAGTACATTTGTGGCCTGCGGTGCATTTTTTGCAGTCCAATAAACTTAAAAAAAAATTGTTGACTATTGGCGGTTACATTGTCGTCTGACATAAACCATCTGACATTAACAATAAGGAGAGCGTCAAATAAGGGACGTGGCCTTGGTCGTGGTGCTGCTGGTGTAAGTGGAGCTCCTGTTGCAAGGAGAGGATGTGGTCGATCTGTGGTGTATCACCAAACTCTATAAATTATTATGTACACATACACATATAAACTCTGGTCCGTCTACTTTAACAAATATTTATTCAGAGACAAAACAACAACAACATACAAATAATGACACACAATCTAACTAACTATACCAACAACAACAGCAACAACAACCTAACTAACAATAACAACTACATCTTATAAAATCACCAGATCCCACTCACAGTTCACCATGATAGAAATTAGCCCATGTCTGCTTAAAGGACTGCTCAGTAGCACAGCCAAGAAGGAACAGGGAGGAATGGAGAAAGGGGAAGTGGTTATCTCTTTCCTGACTTGTAAAGGTATTGAATTACCAATTAACATTTCAAAAGGGTAAAGCTTATCCCACTGTAAGAAAAGCAAACATGAGCTTGGTCACATGACCCCTGGTCACCATATTAGTTTGATGACAGAATGTCACCACATTCCCTCACTTTTTTTTCTCTTATGTTGAGCACATTTAAAAGTGAGAGAAAGAATATAGTCAAACAGGGGTTGTATCACCCCACATTCCCCCAATTTCAATTGTTTTCAGTTGTTCCGTTTTTAAATTAACCATTGCCCAAGTGGGTTGGTAAGAACCCTGGCAGTTGTTCATTAATATTATATGGTAATGTGTTCATGTGAAGTAGTAATATCTAGACGCAATCAACCCCATACAGTAATTATCACTAGTTTATGACACAATATGATGTTTAATTTCGCCTGAGACTGGAATCTGAAGACTGTGACTGATCTGTGTGCTTGATAGCTGTGATTTTAGAATGAACTCTCCTTGAATATTGTCTTTGCCAATCCATTACAAAGCTTGAGGTTTGTAGGTTTAATGACACATGCAAGTTCATGAGTAGAGTAAACTCATTCTGTGACCACCTTGAAATGACACATTCCTGCTTCTTGCTGTTACTTTACCCTCATTCTGGGCTGTGTTAATAGTTTGACTTGGTAATCTCAGCACTTCTTCATCTGTATAGTATCCATTTTCAGGATAATAGTTTGTCTTGGTAATCCCAGCACTTCTTCATTTGTATAGTAAACTGTGACAGGACATGTCAGTTAGAGGTATGTAAAAGACCCACAAATGTCTCCTGAAATTTTGATTAATTTAGACATTTACTCCACACCTGATGGAGAGTTGAACACAAAACCATATTAGTTATTTTATAATTTACTGATGAATACATACAATAATCACAAAATGTACATAGTTTAAACCGAAAATTATTATACATGAACGTGAGTGGGAAAGATGTAAGGGTGAAAAATTTATTCTCAATTGAACGTAGGTGCAAATTCTCATACCCATAACTATTTAACCCCCTGCGGATAGCCAAATAGAACAAATAGCATTCATTGTCACTTTATTATTTATGCCATCTTCACTCAAAGCAATCTAATTTCCCTATACTCTTAATGACAAATAACAAAACAAAAAAAACAAAGCATCAAAGATGGAGAGAGAAGAAAAAAAAGTAGATTGAATGCTACCATTACACAGTTTGGCAGCGTGCAATCTATAGAAAACTGTCTGTTGCTATTCAAAAATCAACTTGAGGTTATATTTGTTGGGAACCAAATAAAAAAAAAAAATGCTTTTAATGTTTTTACTGTTGTAAACCAACAGAAAGTTACGCTATCACATCTCTCCAATGTGATCAAATATAAGCCTCACGTTAGAAACAATTCACTTAATCCATGAATTTATAATTATTAATCAAGCATCAAAAAATAAATAAAACATAGCTGGCAGTGCAGGCGTGCTAAACTAATAAAAACAAAAATTAGTTGGAATTTGGCCCACCTGACTGTAATGAATGAATTTAAAGGCTTATCCTTAATATGACTTAAAAATTTTTTTATATATATATATAACAATACATACTAAGGTCCTCTTTAAACTGGAGTGTTACGAGATAATGGTGAGACAGATAAAATATAGAAACAAAAGAAAAACAAACATACATACAGATGTAGAGGACAACAAAAATTATGGGAGTTATTCATTGCTGGGGACCCCCAATTGATCAGTATTTCCCTCCCTCATCTGTTCCCTAAGCGCTTTCACGTCTGCCTCCAATATCTCAGTCTGTCTCTTTAGGTCCCAGTAGTCTCTATTCCCTTCTTTATTCCTCCAATTATCCCAATTCCGTCTATTGGTCTGATCATCCCATCTATGGTTCCTTTTCCAATTATTCTCCCAATAACTGTTCCTGTTGTTTCTCTGTTTTTCTTGCCATCTGTGATTTTCCCAGTTATCTCTCCTTTTTAGCTTCTCCCAGGTATTATTATTATTATTCCAATTATTATTGATTACCTTAGGCTCCTCCCATCTATTTTTCCAATTATCTCCCATTACATTACTTTCTTTAGAACTGTCCCTATTCCTATGGTCCCTCTGTGGATCTCTCCATCTTTTGTCAAAGTCCTGTTTTGGTCTCCAGTTCTCATTATCCCTCATTAAATGGCTCTGTTCTTGTGGTTTGGGTTATATGGTTCGGGAACCGAACAGCCGCACGAACCAGAGACCACCCGGGAGCTTGTTAAGCCTAATTGACAGTTTGCAACAATTTCCACCGCAGTGTTCTAAGTGTTTGTCTGGGTGGCCGCATTTCATAGGAACGACCACGAGGTGACGGCCATCTTAATCCTGTGAACGCAGGCAGCGGTGATTGGGCATCGATCTCCTGGAACTAAATTCGGACACGGAAACTCCCGAACAGTGCTGGACTTGCATAATCACCTGCGTTCGGTTCTATACAACTGAGAAGAGCACTGTTTAGTGGAATCGTTCGTCTGGAGGAGGGGAACAAGCTGCATGGTGTGAATATTGAGTACGTTCATTAGTTTGTTCGTTTTTAAACTACCGAATTTGACCGACCGTTAGCACTGATCTCATGAAACTGTTTTGGGCATAGGACCATGTGCATGGTCAGTCAAATAATTGACTTCCATAGAAAACCCGAAACCCTGAACCGATCTGGGTGATTTTTGGATATGTTGGTCAACCAGATGGGGGCTATCAGAGGATGTGACTTTTGTGGGGTTTTCATGTGTTTTGGGGGTACTTTTGAGGTATTGTTATATTGCATGTTTTCTGTACTGGGACATAATTTAATTTAGATGTGTACTTTGCAGCAGCCTCCTCTCAGGTCCAGAGGGGAATGCCCCTGAAATGTAATTTAGAAAACCCCTAGCATTGGGAGTTGCATAAAAGGCAGTGTGTGGCTCCCAATAAACCAGTTCATCCATAGCATAGAGCCTCGTCCCATGTGTGTGGGAGAAAGCTATACCAGCTATAATCACTTGCTATACTGCTCTTTGGATTGCTTTACAGCTATATTCTCTTGGAGGAGAGGTCTTCCCACTGGGAGCTGGATCCAGGATTTGGTTCAGGGTGGGAAGGGACGGCGAGACACTAGCCAAGCTGTGGCAGCTAAGGGGTCTAGGGTGAATAGGGTGTCTGGTGCGGTGCTTATGGTACTCAGTGATCCTAGGAAGCAGCAATTGGCAGAGGTACCCAGTTGGGGTACCAGGAGGTCCGCCACAATGTTATCAGAGGGAACAATTGGAGAGACCCTGGAATCTGAATTGTCAATCTCATTATACATATGAGATAGAGTGTCTGCCTTGGCATTACGAGAACCAGACCTGTAAGTAATAAGGTAGTTAAACCTGGACAGAAACAGAGGCCATCTAGCTTGTCTGGGATTAAGTCTTTTTAGCATCTCCAATATAGAAGAGGTTCTTATGATCAGTGAGAATCATAACTGGAGTTTGGGACCCTTTTACGTCTAGTATAATAGTGAGCAACTCCCTATCCTCTTATCTACATGAGTGTTTTAGTAAATATCTATCACGGGAGTCGTACCCTCATTGTGCAGAAAAGGTGGATCCGAAAGACTTATTACCGAAGCCAGACTTAATGTAATCATATAGCAAGAATCAAGGTCAAGGATACAGAAATACACAAAGTCAAGACAAAGTTGGGTCAGGATTCCAGAAAATCACGTGCCAAATACAAAGTCAAAGTCAGGATACCGGAAATTACAAGGTCAATATGAAGCCAAGGTCAAACACAGAAAATCACTAGGGAATCACTAGGAGCACAAAGCAAGGATCTATACAGAAACCATGATAGGTCAATGATTGGGGAGCTAAAACAAGGCTTAAATAGGCTTACCTATGTTCTGATAGGTCCACGTTATCTTTGAGACCCAGAATAGATTAGGATCGCAATTATGACGTGGTCACTTTAAGAACAGGTGTGATATCATGCCTACTTTCTATATATAGATGTCCTGCCTTGTGAAGATGGATCGGTCAGACCGTGCGACAGGAGGAGGTGAGTGCACTTGAATATGCCGCGCAGTAGGGCCGCGTGGCAGGAGGAGGTCTTCGCAGCTCGAGGGAGGAAACAACATCTTGCCACATTTACCTGCCTGGCTGGAGTGGAGTCCAACAGAAAGAGCTGTGGGCACTAGCCTCCCAACAATCTTATTCTATAAGTGCAATTGCATTGTAGTGTAATTTTATTTTTTACTGCACTACACTATGATATTTGTTAATTCATTTTTTATACTACAGCTGTATACCCATATTAGCTGTTATACATTTTGTATACTGAGACACCTGGGAAGTCTCCTTCCTGGTGAAACTTCTACAGAACCCACACTTGGATCCATTGCTACTTAAGTATCATGTTAGTACATAGCATAAGAGTTCTCCTCTATTATCTCTTTCTCTAGCTCATTGTCAAGCTCTTTATTATCCAGGAATTAAATTCCTGCAGTGCTGGGATCGCCTCCAGCAAGAACAAACAATGGTGACCCTTGCCAGGAGTAAGCTGAATTAGAGTAAGTTGAATTACATGACATGCCTTAGACTATGATAGGCTAATTGTATCAGTAAATGCTCTTTGGTGTTCATGGTGATAAATGTGCATGAGTACATATAATATGTTAAAAGAGGTTTCAGTGCATGAGAGAAATATACATTTCACAAATCCAGAAATCAGGAAAGAATTGCTCTTTCAAAATGTATTCCCTTGAAACCTTTCGTTTTTCTTCTCATATAATTCTTTTCAGGCTTGAGGGTACTTAAATGGAAAACTTTGTTTAAGTTTGAAATTCAGTTCTTTTAAACTTTCTAATTTCTCTTAGGCTTCTTGATAATTTTATTTACATTTATATACATTTTATATAAATTACTTTTATTTTATAACCTTAAAAAGACACTCCAGACCCCTAAAGCCCTTTAACTTGCTGGATTGCTTTATGTGTGTGTTCTGTGGACAGGCACTAAAAGTCTCGGTTAGGGAAGAAAAACAGTGAAAAGGGTAAGGTGAAGTACTCTATTAGCTTCTCCCAACTGTGTCTGTAGAGGTATTGGAAGTAGCCACACCACACAGCCAGGTAAGGTGAAACCCCTATAATGAAAGGCATTGGAAAACATCATAAGCAGCATCACCACATTTTAGGAAAAAAAACATGCATTCAAAGAGTTAAGAAAGGTTCTGACCCACTCAGTGAAGGTAAGGCTTACTTGTGCAGAAAACTGCAACTCATGTTAACAGTGGCACAGAAACATACAGCAAATCAAATAATCTTATTATTTCTTACTAGAAATAAAAGAAAAAAAGAAGTGGGTGAAATTGCCAGAAAATGGTATTACTTTGCTATTTTGATTTCTATTTAATTCACCAGATATAGATGATATATATTTATATGCATGCACATCCTATTGCTTTAGGGTGTGCACCCTAAAGCACAAGCACACGCCGCGTATATGTATGTATACACATATATATACAGGGAGTGCAGA